GATTTCCTTTCTAATCCTGAAAATTTTTATCAGGAACAGATGTTGAATTTTATCAAAAGTGTTTTCTGCATCAATTGATATTATTTGTGGTTCTTTTCCTTTATTTTATTTATGTAATGGACTATGTTGATTGCTTTTCTAATGTCAAACCATCCTTGCATACCAGGTATGAATCCCACTTGATCGTGATTATTTTTTATTATTATTTATCAATATTTTGTTGAAGTCTATTGGCTGGGATTTTGCTGAAGATTTTTGAGTCTATATTCATGAGAGATATTTTTCTGCAGGTTTTCTTTTTAGTGGTGTCATTGTTTGGTTTTCATATCAGGGTTATGCTTGCTTCATAAAATTAACTTGGGAGGATTCCATCTTTTTCTATATACTGGAATACTTTGAGTAGGATTTGTGTCACCTCTTCTCTGAATGCTTGATAGAATTCTCCAGTGAAACCATCTGGGCCAGGACTTCTGTTTTGTTGATAATTAATTAATTAATTAATTTTTAAAATAAACTTCTCAATTTCTTATTTTCAATTGGGTCTGTTCAAATTTCTAGCGTGGTCTGTGTTAGTTACAGTAAATAATGTGTTTCTCAAAATCTGTCCATTTCTTCCAGGTTTTCAAATTTGTTTGGGTATAATTCTTCATAATATTTGGTTATCTGCTTCATTTCAGTTGATTCTGTTTTGATGTCCCCCATTTCAATCATTATTCATGTTACTTGCATCTTTTCCTTTGTTAGGTTTGTCAATGATTGCAGTGTAGTAAGTTACTTAGTATGGCTTTTCTACCCATAAGTCATTGTAAACTCAGTGGTGAAATGAGCAACTGAGGAGCTCCTGATTGTAAATGTTATCCACCTGGGTTATTTCTGTTGGGAGTGGCACAACACAATGTTATGGGAGGCTCTCTCTCTCAGGTGCTTAGAGTTCTGATGCTATGATTGGCTAGTTTGACCACTCTGCCAAGCTCAAAAGGAGGCCTCCTTGAGGCAGAACTCTCTCTGACTGCTGGTTGAGGGAGACGTGCTGCTGAAAGAGACATGGGCTCCTGAGACATGCATTGCTGGGAAATAGATGCAAGAGACATGCATTGCTGAGTGAGACACCGAGGGACCAGCACTGCTGGGAAAGAGACTGTGAGAGACGGTTGGCTGAGGGTTGGTGGGCTGGGAAAGAGACTGAGCATTTTTCCTGAACTTGAATTGTAGCCTGTGGTGCTTCCCTAATAAACCCCATAATCTGTGAGCTCTGTGTGGCCACTGCAGAAGATTATCAAACCCAGGAGAGAGGTGGTGGATACTTTGGGAGGAACAGTTGGTGAAAGGGCTAGAGGGAGGCAGCATGTCTGGCCTGGCAGGGATAGGCCTTGTGTTATTGATAGTGACTCTGTCTTCCTTTTGTGGGGTTAGAGGAGGTCAGAACATGTGGCCTCCCTGCCGTTTTTGCAATGATCTATTGATTTTATTAGTCTTTTCAAAGAACCAGCTTCTAGTCTTGTTGATATTTTCTATTGTCTTTCTATTTATTGTTGTTGTTGCATATTTCTGCATAGATTTTTATTATTTCATTTCTTCTGGTAGATCAACCCTATGATCTACTATGCCAGGAATGACAAATTGAAGAGGAATGGCATGGCATTCATCATCACAAAGAATGTATCAAGATCTATCCTGAACTACAATGCTGTCAGTGACAAGATAGTATCCGTACACCTACAAGGAAGACCAGTTAATACTTCTATTATTCAAATTTATGCACCAACCATCAAAGCCAAAGATGAGGAAATTGAAGATTTTTACTAACTTCCGCAGGCTAGAGTTTATTGAACATGCAATCAAGATGTGTTGATTATCACTGGTTATTGGAATGCAAAAGTTAGAAACAAAGAATCACCAGTAGTTGGAAAATATGGCCTTGGTGATAGAAAGAATGCTAGAGATTGCATGATAGAATTTTGAAAGACCAATGACTTGTTCATTGCAAATACTGTTTTTCAACAACAAAAATCGCTGTTATGCAAATGGACTTTGCCAGATGGAGTACACAGGAATGAGACTGATTACACCTGTATCAAGAGGAGATGGAGAAGCTCAATATCTTTAGCAAAACAATGCCAGGTGTTGATTGGGGAACCATCAACTAGTTATATCCATATTCAAGTTAAAGTTGAAGACAATTAAAACAAGTCCACAAGAGCTAAAATATGACCTGATAATACTCCTCCTGAATTTAGAGACCATTTAAAGAATAGATTGCATGCATTAAACATTAATGACTTAAACCCAGAGGAACTGTGGGATGACATCAGTAACATTATTCATGAAGAAAGCCAAAAGTCTTTGAAAAGACAGGAAAAGAAGAAAAGACCAAAATGGATGTCAGAAGAGACTGAAACTTGCCCCTGAACAGAGAGTAGCTAGAGAAAAAGGAATAATGACAAGATAAAATAGCTGAACAGAATATTTCAAAGAGCAACTCAAGAAGAAAAACCAGAGGTACTGGCAAGATGGCGGACTAGGCAGAAAGACTGCACAGACCCTCTTCAACAAAGAAAAGGGAAACCAATTAACACAGACACAGAAGAAAATTCTGGACACCTGAGCCTTGAAGGGAAGGACATAGAAGTGGACTAAACCTGAACTAGCAGAAGAATTTGCATGAAAATACCAAAAAAGCAGAAATATGGAGCTGCAGTCTGGCAGCAATCCTGAGTGATCCTGATAGCACAGACAGCTTGGAGATTCCCTAGTGGTGGTAGGACCTAAAAATTAACTTAAAAATCTGCCCTGCTAGCCAGGGACTGCATGGAGGACTGTGCACGGTGGCTGGGGGAATAAACAGAGAAGGTGAAGAGAAAGGCAGGCTGAACTATGGACTTTTGTGGGTCTGGGAGGGTACTGACATTTTGAAGGTTTAAAAGCACCTTGACTATTTTGGATATACAAAGAGACACACTCTCACAGATTCCTGGCATTTAAACACGTTCCACTTCCCAGAAACCCCAAGGACACTCCGGACTCGTAAAACTGAAAAGTTTTTTAATGGTTATTCAATTGCAACTTGTGTCTAACTGAGTGAGAGACAACTACAGTCCCCATAAGACACAACTACACCCACACCTCCTGCAACTTCACTTACTGAGCAAGAGCCACTACCTCTTTCTCCACCAACGGGTCAATGATAAAAAAACCAACAGAAGAGCCTTCATCATCCTTGGCTGTGCTTCACAAACAGTTAACAGAGATCTAAATACAACAATGCCATGATGCCTCAGAAACAACAGACCATCACAGTACACAAAGAAGCAGGATAAAGTGGTAGAAACAAGGAAGCACGATACAGACCCAGACACATCCCTGAGGAGGAAGCAGCATTGGAAATCTCTGAAAAGGAATGCAAAAGAATTATCTTTAGGTATCATCAAAGGATTGAGAGACAGACCAAAGAAAACACAGAGGAAACCCTAAAAGAATTTTGGAATAAAATACAAAAACAAAATGACAAAATAAATGAAAAATTAGAAATGATTCTAAATCTACAGATAGAAATCCAGAAGATTAATCCTAAATTTTCAGAAATAGATAACACACTGGAAGGGCAAAGGAGTAGAATTGAAGCACTGGAAAACAGAATTAATGAGATTGAAGACAAATACCCGAATACTTCTTTGGAAAAGGAACAATCAGA